GTTTCACCTGCATCCTGCACCTCTCTTTGCTGCACCCGAGACCCACAGTCCCAACCCAAGCGCAGACATGGGAAATGAGGGAGGAAGAGAAAGGTGGCATTTCTTCGTGCTCCGATCTGTGGTACAGAAGTCTTTCAGAGCCAGGGCCGGTGGGGGACTTCTGAGGATTTCTGCAGGCCAAAACAGGATTGCAACCTGCAGAAATCCTCAACCATGGATGGCACCAACACCCAGGTCAACCTCAAGGTGGATGACCCTGCAAAACTTATACCACCAGATTGAAATCTCAGACACTGAAGCCAAGTGGCAAACCTCATGGCCACATAAACTCAAACCTTGGGACATGAATGTTTTGAAACCATCAGGCTTCTGAAAACAGACCAGCTATGTAGCTTTGTATTTTTCACATGGGGTTTTTTTGTCCTGTGGTTCCACATTTGCCTTGCTTTCTACCTCTGTTCCCTCCGCCTCCATGCAATTTAAATCAAGCTGCGGGGTGGGGGGTATGACGACCTATAGTACCTACAGTATTAGCTCACTAGCACTAGACTGCAATGCTACTCCTCCCCATCTCACAAATGCATCAACTTCATTTGTAACCCTAACATTGGTAATGTGTGCATTGGTATGCATCACCTAGATGTCCCCGTTCCATTGTCAGTGATGACTTGAGATTAAAGTTGAAATATCTTGCCCGCTTTTTGTTTACTTTAAGATTGCTGGGGATGCTAAAGTGGCAAGGTATTTCAGTCTGTATCTCAGGTTCCTGTCTTTATAGGTTTAAAATTATGTAGTGCTTTTCTCCATCAGCATGCAGATGGAGAAATATGGTATATGTCTGATATTGTGCCCAAGCCTACAATGGGTTTGCTTTGGCATGAAATTTCAGCTTTTTTTCATTATGTAAAAGAACATCTGTGGCTATGTGTCTGCTGACCTGAAGTGATTTCTTTTCCATTTCCATTTCTAAATGGTAAGTAGTACAGTTTGTTGGGTTTGCAACTTTTTTCTTTATTTTTTTATGTGACACTGAAGTGCCCAATTTTTCAACTTTTCTGAGGCGCCAGACCTGTTATTTATATATAGACATGTATGGTATTTACAGAAACATGAGAATCTCAGCTTAATACTCATTAAACCATTTACATGTCCACCAGATACAGCTAAAACAACAAGGAATGAAAGAGCAGGTAAACAGACTCTACAAAAAGATGTAAACAAAGATCAGATTCCCCTGTTCACCCCACAGCATATACACAGACAGACATTGTCTCTGATGAAAGGATAGATCTCACAGATTTCAAAATTGGAAGTGTCAGCCAGCAGCAAAAGAAGACCAAAGTTATGCTTCATATTTGAATAACATTAGCATGAATTCTGTCTCACCTTTGTGTTTAATCCACCACGATTAAACCATATTTCCTGCAAAGTTCCATACACAAGTGTGCTTCAAGAGCAGTTTCCCTTCATAAATCACTATTATGAGCCTTATTCGCTTGTTTACTCACAGACGCATTATGCAACAGCAGTGTACAGTGTGGCTGTCCACTTTTCTATCACTACAAAAACATATATTAACTGTAACAACTTTAAAGAGACTCTTAATTAAAACATAATAAAACCCTTTTCCTTCCTGTTGGATGTGCAGATGGTTTGTGTGTGAAAAAGCTCAGAGCTGCTCTCCTATCTATAATGCAGTCCCAGAGGCATTGTAGTGACCTTTCACTGTTGAAGAGACTACCCTGTCACTCCAATTGTGCTTACTCCAGTGGCAGCAATGCTGCTATGCAAGGTGCTCGCCCATTGCCTGCTGATGGAAACAGTGTGGGTTTCAGTGCCATCCCTTAGTACACTTCAAAGCAAATTTATCTGTCACACCCTGCAGTTAGTTCATGAGAAGGGTTTAAAATTAATCATCAGGAATAGCTTTCTGTTACTTTCATTTCGTAGTCTGTTAAATCTGATACTACAGTTGGTTACAACATGCTGTCATGCAGATGGTTTTTTTTATGAGCTGCACCCTGGCTGAAGACTTTGGTTCGACACATCTTTAGCCAGTGAACTAACACTAAATCATGCTTTCTGAAACTTGAATGACCAAAATGTACAAGTTTTAGTCAATATAACATGACACTGAGCAACCGAGCCAATAAACTGCAACAGCTTACTGTTGGAAATTTTATCAGAATACAGTGAAAAATGAGAAAAACTAATATTTTTCTCAAATCATTGTGTGAAATTGTCATAATCCCTCATCAGCTCTATTCTAAATGTGCCTCAAGCTACCACCCTGAAAGCCTCTGCAGACATATGTAATCAGTTCCTTTCTTTCTTTGTAAACAAGGTTGAGTGTATCAGGTCAGCAATAGTACTTCCTGCATATGACCCATCCATGTTTATTCCCCGCTCAAATTTTAGACTGATCTCGAAACTCCCATTCCTTTCAAAGTTATTGGAAAAAATAGTTTTTACCCTATTCAATGCATTTTTGGATACCAATGACATTATGGAGGTTTTTCAGTCTGGTTTTAAACATTTACATTCCACTGAAACAGCACTTTTACAGGTTTTTAATGACATCCTTATAGCAAACGATTCTGGAAGCTCTGTGATTCTTGTGCTTAAAGGTGCAGCACTGGATTGGCTTCGTTCCTATTTGAGTGACAGAACGTTCAGTGTTAATATTAAAAATGTTTTGTCCACCTCAGGCCCCCTTTCTTGTGGGGTTCCTTGCTTGGTCCTCTTCTGTTTTTTTTGTACTTGCTCCCTTTGGGCTCTATTCTTAGAAAACATGAGATATTCCTTCACTGCTGACAACTTCCAAATTTACCTGCCTTTAGCACCTAATAATCCAGGCCCCATCTAATCCTTTTAAACTGCCTTGAAGATGTCAAGGCTTGGATGGCTCTGAACCTTTTGAGCTTCAATCAGAGGTAATTATGCAACCCACTTATTAATTATGCTTGGCTTGGGTCATACAAGCCAACAACATATCGAACAGCGTGTCACAAGTCTGGGAGTCATTATGGACTCGGGTTTTAAATTTAATAAACAAATGCGTTCTGTGTTGCAAAAAAGCTTTTTCCAGTTAAGGAAAATAGCAAAGCTTAAGCCAGTTTTGTCAAGGTATGACTTAGAGAAAATAATACATGTCTTTATCTCAACTCGGCTCAACTATTGCAATGCACATTATGCTGGAGTCAGCCAAGCATCCCTCTCACGTCTTCAGCTTGTTCAAAATGCTGCTGCTCGTCTCTTACCTGGTACACACAGGCATGAATATATCTAACCTATCCTGTCCTGTATTCATTGGCTTCTTGTTAATGACAGAATTAATTTCAAAGTCCTAACGTTGGCCTATAAATGCCTAAATGGTCTTGCTGCTCCATACCTTCCTGATGAACTTCAGCCTTATATTCCCTCGTGGGCCCTTAGATCAGCCGACCAGCTGCTTTTGGTTTTCCCAAAAATGAGGCTGAAACTTAGAGGAGAGTGAGCTCTTTCAATTGTGGTACCCAAACTCTAGAATATACTGCCTTTAACTATTAGAGAGGCCTCTTCACTTCCTGTTTATAAATTCTTTTGAAAACACATCTTTTTTAATTAGCATTTGGTGTGAATCGATATGCTCTTTTTATTCTGTTTGTTTTATTTTATGTGGGAGTTTTAATGTGAGAGGTTTTATCTTCCGTTTTATCTCTTGTTTTGTTTTGTTTTTGTGCAGCACTTTGGGCAAATTTTCAGTTTTTTTATGTGTGCTATATAAATACATTGGATTTGGAGTTTACAGAGGTCAAGTCCTAGAGATATTTTCCCACAGTCTTCCACAGAGCCTTCTCTTTTTGCAGTTAGAAGTACGACCCAGTGGTGGTTATAAAGTTTCAAAGACCTCATCAAATATCTGCAAACACACAAAAGTACAGATTTCCAGGCAGAAGTAATAATGAAATGTGTGACACTCAGAGATAGACAAAGATGTGAAAAAGAGAGGACAGGAGAGGAAGGGGTGATATTATTTTTAAAGG